GGAACGTAAAATGGGGAAATTGAGTTGAATGGTTGTGTGAAAACTGATGAAGGGTTTTAGTTAGCTACATGCTTACGATAAGGCAGTAGTAGTATGCTAGTTACAAAAAAGCCAATACAATTTTAGGTTTCCATGGGTACATCATCCAGATCAGTGGCAATAATAGTACCATTTCAACCTGTGTTTGCCACTGTGTACAGTACTGGGTACATGATTCAGAAGGAAAATGAACATGCCACCAAGTGTTCAGGAAAGTGACAGGGTGATAAGAAGCCAGAAAAGCTGCAGAATATGGGGCTAGTCTACAGAAAAGTAAGAGGAAGCAAAGTTTTCTTAAGTATCTGAAAAGCTGTCAATTGGATTAAAAGCAGACTTGTTCTGTGTAGCTTTAATGGGCACAATTAGAACAAATGGGTAGAAGTTACAGGAAGTTTAGTTTCAATTGATTATAAAGGAACAGAGATTTGACACCAGTGCTTGTCAAAAGTGGAATGACAAAGAGATCTCAGGGAAGCTGTCAGATTCCTTCACCAGATTGGAAAATAATCTTCATGTGACAGACCACTTCTCAATGCTTGAATAAGTATTTATCTCAATATGTGTTGTTAAAAATAATAAACCATTTGGTTTTATGATGTGCCTATAAAATAGAATTTAAATAAACCCAACCAGTTATTTTCTAACTTTAACAACACAAGTACTATTACAAAATAAATTAAAATCAAATTAATGATTACATTTTAAAATCTTTCCATTTTTAATAAATTCCCAACTGCTTTACTGACTATGCCACAACAAACTGAAAATTAGGGAACCTGAAATATAGTTTAAAAGAATGCAAAATGCCAATGTATGTAATGCTATGATCTCAAAAGAACCTGAAAACAAAGATTACTTGAAAAGCAGCCAATATACACAATAAAATAGGTTTCTAAATACTCATACTAATATCCGAACTCTATTTATCACTTTGAAGTTAGACATGATTTTTTACATTTAGTAAACTAACAGAAAAGCTAGATTATATCATTAGTGGGAAAATAGTGTCTCATTTCCTCCCATAAAGCTTACTACAATTGAAAGGGTTTTTAAGGCCATTTACCTCCAAAAGTCTGTGTCTTTCTTTATCAGTCAGCTTTGCTCTTCCGCCTGTGATTTCATCCACTGACGTTTGTAAGGCTGCAGTTTTCCCCCTAACATTTTCTAATGTAGTTTCTGATTTGGAGTTACTAGACTTTGACCGCCATTTACTTTTAATTAAATCTTTGGGGCTTCTACAAGACATCTCTGAAATTGTAAAAATAAAAACACAATTATATTTTATACGTCTGAGTTTTAAACGTCAAATCTCAGGTTTGAAAAGGTAAAATAACCTACTTGCTAAGTACAAGAACCTTTCTATTGAAAAGAAGTGATATGGCCAAACCACTGGGGACCTAACCTTGAATTCTGTCTGTCACCCTCAGTGCCTAAGAGCAGGTGCCTGGAGCGACGGGAGACAAGCCGGACAGGTGACCCAAGAAACCTTTCAGCCCGGTCCAGCGCACAGGCCTCGATTCCAGGCTCCGCAACTGCAAGTGGAGGCAAATCTTGGGAAACCCCCACATAAGGTATCAATCACATGGGGAGGCACACAGGCAAGGACAGGCTGCAAAAAAGAGGCGCGCTTTTTCTCTCTAAAATGAAGATGCTGTAGTCTAGACAAAAGCGATTATTAATCGGCAAAATGCTAAACTAAGCAAAGACCTCGGCCAAGACACCTGGCCCCTGCGCCTGCCCGTAAGGGGCTGGTAATACCCACCGGAAAGCTGAAAGGAGGGAGCCAAACCACAACGGTCGCGAGGCGCCCAGCCGGTGCCCGGAAAGGGGGCTTAGATCGGGCGGGGCGGGCAGAGATGGAGTCCGAGCGGAGGTGAGCGCTCTCTGACCCCGCCTCCCTCGCGGTCCGGCCCTGCCCCGGGGCTGGGGGCCCTGGCCGCCCCTCGCCAACCTCCGCGGTCGCCTCCTGCCCGCTCCCGAGGCGAAAAGCCGAGCTCGCGTCTGCCGGGTCACACCTCCGGTGCCAGCGCCGCTTCCGGGAGTTTGAATCCCGCGGCTGGGGGGCGGGGCACGTCACTGCCGGCGGGGACGCGGCCCGCAGGAAGGCGGGGCGGTGGTCGCGGCTCCCCGATTGGCTGCAGCTTACCAGGGGCGGGGCTTGGAACCCGAACGCGGAAGGAGGGTGGGGCGGGGCTAGGGGCGGGGCCGAGCATGGGAACGCCTCCTCCCGGCTCCGCCGCCTAGTTCTCAGGTTTTCTCTGGGTTTTTTGAGGGCTCAGACCTCAGACTCGGTGTTTCTTTGTAAGGAGCTGATTTGTGTTTATCCGCTTTGGGGATGAAGCAAATTTCTCTGCAGTGAGATGAACCCAGGGACTGTGAACCGGAACTAACTCATTGTGGGTCCTTGGATTCCCCCAAGGAGCACAGCTTTCCAGTCTTCCCCCGGGCTGAGCCTTTATCCCGACAAGAGGCAGGGGTGGCGCAATGGGGAGTGAATAGGTGGGAGAACTGACAGGCACGCCCAGGTTGAAACCTGAGATTAGGCCTGGAGGAACCAATCAGGCCTTTGTCACAGATTGCTGCCCTCCGGCTTGAGATCCATCTATTGCCAAGTCTGGGTCGTGGTTAGCCGTTTTGATAACTTTATTGCTCAAACGGAGAGGCACAGAAAGTGTTTGGCTGGGCCTACCTTTCAGACCAAACACACCAGAGATTTAAAACAACAGATTAAAAGGATACAGTAGCAAAACATCCTAGGAAAGCAATGAGGCACACTGGTTAAATTCTAGTTTAGGACTGAGTTTAGCTCCTGCCTCTAATTATCTAGTAGTCCTGAATAAATTATCTAACCTCTCTGATCTTCAGTTTTCTGATCTGTAAAATGTTGCAAATAATATCAACCTCATAGGGTGGTTATGAGCTTTAAATGAGAAAAATCTATGTAAAGTGCTTGGCATTTTGTAAATGCTTAATTGATGTTAACCGTTATTACTCAAAAAGCAACAAACTCCTATGTTACTAAATAGAATGGATGAGAAACCATATAGAGAATTTTAAAGAATTTTATTATATGTAATGCAAGAAGATAAAGTTTGGTCCCTGCTTCCAAAGCGTTCACATTTCTGATGAAAAGGTGAAGAGAAGGATGCCTCCTGTCTGTTGGTTAGAAGTGTCAGATAGGATTGGAGTGGGAGGAAGTCGGGGCAACAGGTAAGTGAGGGTGTGAATGTTATTCACTGACCAGAGTTGAGAACAAGGGCAAAATTACTTTCCATAGAAATTTACAAAGATTTTTGGAAAGAAATGCACACAGAGAAATCACCCTGCTCAGCTTTGAGCCAAATGAGTAGAGAAGAGAGGGAGTGGGAGGGGCTGTGTGCAGAGGGGTGATACTGGCATCTGAGGGCCTTGTGCCGGGGCCTCCTGGGCCAGATACCCCAATTATACATCTGCTCCCCGGGTCCCTCTTTTCTGGCAGGAGCTCCCTCTGTGTGGGCAAAAAATGGACTCTATAATAAATCAAATAAATCCAGATTTAAACTTGATAAGTAACCTCACAGGGTGATCTGATCATAAATTCCTAACTGAGCAGGTCATGGTGGGTAGTCACAGTGCATACATATAACTTCTTTAGTTAAAGGTTTATTTTTGCCTTAAGCAAACCCTGTCCATTGTCCTTGTGCATCTAGATGTTAATCATAAGTCGTGCATAAGTCATAACCACCCTCCAGAGCAAATAATCTTGTTAGCTATCCTGTACCCTGCTTTCTCCCACTTTCATGTAATCTTCCTTATGTTCCTTCTTTAATTCTAAATGTATAAGTGAAACTGCAAAACTATTATTTTCCAGAGCATTTGAGATCTTGTTTCCCAACCATGTGGTCAGTTTGCTCAAATAAACTTTTATAAAAATTCTCTACAGATTTGAAGTTTCTTAAGTCAACACATGTGACTAGGGACCCCTGAGGAAGAGGGGCAGGCACCAGAGACTCATTGGCCTGGCAGCTTGTTCAATTGTCATTATTAGACCTGGAAATCAATGTTTGCTCTTCGCAGATAGGTGCTGCGGGGCATAAAGTGGGAAGATGTGGCAGTTTGCACAAGACCTCTCAAGTTGATAGTACTTTGATGCTGACAGTTCACTTACAGGAATCCTAGGTCAAGGATTCACAATTTATCTTCATTCGTTTACAGAGAGAAATGTAACAGCCAAGCAGGCTAGATCTTTCCTCTCGCTGAGTAATCTCATATGGGAGAATTCTTATTCACCTAGCCAGTCAGTGATACTCCCTGCCTTGGTTCTCGATTCAGGGTGCATTCTATTTGGAGAGAGTGGCTCTCTGGACACTCACTGCTCTGCCTGTTTTAGCTCTTTTTAAAATTTAATTTTAAGTCTGTGGGTTTATTAAAATTGTCACTGTAAGAGCATCCAAACCCACAGAAAATTTTTATAAGAGTTTATTTGAGCCAAACAGAGGGCATGCCTGGAAGCAGGATCTCAACAGACTGAGAAAAATGTTTTCCAGAATGACAGTTTGCAGTTTCTTTTATATGTTTTGAATTAAGTAGGGAACTAAGATTGGAAGGCAAGATGGGGAAATCTCTATGATTGGACTATATGATAGTTAAGATTATATGTTCAGTTGAAGGTGGTTCAACTTCTGAAGGGTCTAGAAAAGGGGGCATTTTCAAAGGTGCTTTAACTTAGATGCAAAACAAAACAAAACAAAACAAAAAACAAAACAAAACAACAGAGTGCTTGCATAAAGCAAAGATAACCTTCTCCCAGGGAAGTTATAGGCCTGAAGCATGACTACGCACCATGACCTGTCCTGTTAGGAATTTAAGATCAGATCACCTTGTGAGATTACTTCTGGTTAGATTTATTAGAGAGTCCCTTTTCATCCACCAATGTTTTCTTTGTATCCAGAGTATTGTATACAATTCAATCATTCTGCTACCCTGCTGAAAAATGCGTCTCTACTAAGTCCCCACTGCCACGGGGCATGGTGTCAGGAGTGAAGAGCATGGACTCTAGCCCGCCTGTGCTCAGATCCTGGCTCCACTTTAGCAAGCTGCTTGACCAAACTATGCCTCAGTTATTTCATCTGTAATATGGGGATGAAAAAATAGTACTTACTTCATAGGATAGGACAGTGGAAGAATTAAATGAGACGAATAGCATCTGGCATGTAGTGAGCACTCAGTGGATGTTAGTTGTTGGGTTCTCTGGGCTGGTGCCTGCCTGCCTAGGGTCACTGATTGACTCTTTCACCTCACACATGATAGTTCACCAAAATCAAATGTCTTGAAGTTCCCCCACGATCACCATGTGTGTTTGTTTAACTCTATCTCAGATCACACACACATACAAAATTAACACCCAGAAATCAATGGCTTTTTTTTATACACCAATAATGAACTCAGAGAAAGAGAAACTAAAAAAAAAAAAAATCCCATTTACCATTGCACCAAAAAAATTAAGATATCTACACTAATAAAAGAGAAACATGGTAATTGGCGTACGACCGCTACCCTTCCCATTGGCTAATCAGCGTATCCTTATGCAAATTAACTGTCAGCCAAGATGGCGGCCGGCAGCCAGGCACTGAAGCGAGCAGGGAGGCTTGCTTCCTCCAGGAACTGCAGACTCCAACGTTCCCCGCCTCACTTGCCGGCCTCTCAACTGCAACTCTAAGCAACTATTACTATGTTGCAAATAAGAAGCTAAACAAAACTGGCTGTCAGTCAGCCCCGGACGGCAACATTGTATCCATGTTTTCAGCAGCGAGGCCTCAGAGCTAAAGCTGGCCCAGAATAAAAAAAAAAAAAAAAAGAAAACAAGGAGCGGTTGGGAGCTTTTAGTCAACTGCCAGCGGGAAAACAGCCCTCAGCCCCTCAGCCAGCCTGGCCAGGCACCCCAGTGGGGACCCCCACCCTGATCCAGGACACCCTTCAGGGCAAACCAGCCAGCCCCTACCCGTGCACCAGGCCTCTATTCTATATAGTAAAAGGGTAATATGATCCCAGCACCGGGATCAGTGGAGCAGCGAGGCTCCCGGCACCGGGATCAGCGTGACAGGGGGCAGCGCCCAAACCCCCTGATCAGCCCTGCTCTGTGCCTGATAGGGGGGAGCTCCCCAATCCCCCGATTGCCCTGCGGCTCTGTGTGTGACAGGGTGCAGTGCACCAACCCCCCGCCCCCACGGGCCCTGCTCTGTGTGTGACAGGGTAGAACCATAACCTCTCCATCGGCCCTGCCCTGAGTGTGACAGTGGCGGTGCCCCAACCCCCTGATCGGCCCTGCTCTGTGGGTGATAGAGGGTGGCGCCCCAACCCCCCTCCACAGGCCTTGCTCTGTGTGTGACAGGGTAGAGCCATAACCTCCCCATTGGCCCTGCCCTGAGTGTGACAGGGTGCAGCGCCCCAACCCCTTGATCCGCCCTGCTCTGTGTGTGACAGGGAGCAGTGCCCCAACTCCCCTATTGGCCCTACTCTGTGAGTGACAGGGGGGAGCTCCTCAACTCCCTGATGGGCCCTGCTCTGTGAGTGACAGGGGCAGCGCCCAACCCCTGATCGGTCTTGCTCTGTGAGTGACAGGAGCAGTGCCCAACCTCTGATTGTCTTGCTCTTGGGTGAGGGGGGAGGGGGGGGGAAACACTCATTGGCCTGGTTTGTTGAGTGGAAGGGGGGGGCGCACACCCCAATAATGGGGCCGGTTTTGGGTTTGAGGAAAGGGGGGGCAGAAATTTGTGTGGGCTTGTCCTTTGGTGGTAAAGGGAGGGGGGGG